AGAAACAATTGTTGCGATAAACTAATGCGTAAGCCTATTAAATAAGTTTTAAATAAAGCGGATTTCAATAGAGTTTAATCTCTGTGAAAATCAACAGGTATTTTGCTTTCTTTGGGCATTTAGCCAGGAAATTAAAAGGTTCTCACACTTAGACCCCACTCTTTATTTTACGATCAACAACTTTGAAGACACCGCTACCGTAGTTAGTGAGTAATTTAGGCAGAGCATTCATGGAAATGTGTGGCCTTAAGTGCTTGGGAAACTCAGAAATAAATTTTACTTTGAGCCATTTCCAAATTAACCGCATTTTCTACATCAAAAGTGAAAATGAATCGAAAAGCAGCTGACCCCCAAACGTGAAGTGAGCAGAATTCGGGAATATTACATTTTATGTAGTTGCCAATGGAAGCGATTGCTTGAAAATTCATTTTCCTTAAAAAGCTAATCTCAGGTATAGTTGTAATAGCTATTCACATACGCTTCATGCTAAATAAGGTCAGCTATGTGTTTATTTTGAAAGTGTAAGGCTTTTAGTTCATCTCACATCCCAAATCTAATATGTATAAATTTTGTAAATGCTCTAAAGCGAAATCCCATATTTCTCAAACCTTCGGATTAAAATATTTATTTTATTTATATCAAATGACAGGCATTTTGATAGCTTAATTGGCCTTTAAGGTGACTTCAGACCTCACAGAGAAGAAATATCATAGTGAAAAAAATTCGAGAGGGGGGGCGGACAGAAGAGTATTTCAAAGGTGTAAAAGAGACATACACAAAGGTAGAAAAAAGGTGAAATGAGTACTGTGGAAGTAGTCGAATATGACATAAAGTGGGGTGATGGTAGTTTGAAAGCAGAAGTCAACTGCCGGTTAATAGACTTTTTGCCGTATGAGTAAACGTTGCCCAGGGTGCACCACGTTGAGGTAAGTCTATCGCACACCCCTCAGATTAAAATATGATTATCCTTTATAGATCGAGGACGATTTGTCCAATTTTGACCATAATAAAAGAACTAAGTGCTTTGATAAATTAATGCAGAAACTAGACATGGAAACTAGAAGAGTCCTCCTACGTCTCAACTGCAGACTCATTGGGGTGTCTGCTGTCTTGGTCTCACTTTGACAGGAACCGCCAACGGTCCGCCTTATTTTGGCAACATCAAATAAATATTTTGTCAAGTACATTTCTAAAGTAAATATCGAAGTAGAGTAGGGCAAAGGTTCAAATTGAAATGTTATTGGAGCAGCCACTTCCATTCTCCCACGATTTTTCAGTACTTTTATGCAAACATCGCCACGCATTTCAAGTGGTGTTTGAAGCAATTTTTGAACTTTTATGCAAGGTATGAGATCAAGATAAGTTCGATAATATGCATGCTTCAAGTCATTGTTAAATTGACAAAAAACCTTGATCAGTTACTCCATTTCGAAAGGTGAAAATGCACTATTGAGAAACAGGGACAGTCTTTTGACAAAAAATGAAGTAGGGGTAAACGGTTTCGTAGTATCTATGCTTCCGTTGCACTTTGGAAAGTGCGCCTAAGTCAGTTTACTCTGGAGTAAAGAAATACATCTCTGTTAGTGGATGAATTTATCTAAGCGTTCAGCGATTCCAAAGATATTTCTTGCCAAAATCACCAGCAATTTCCAATTTTATTGCATGTCACACAGCTCTAAGTTTGGACACTTAATCATTTATTTGATTTGGTGGGTATGTTAATGACTTACCTTTAATTGGCATGATTAAAAATCGTTCATGTTGTTGGCACTGCTTCATAAAATTTACGATTCGGACGGAAACCGTCAGATTTTAAATCAAAATAGAAAATTGATGGTGCTGTTCTTCACTTTTGAATTTCAGTACAGTTTGTTTTCCTTATCCTGGTGAGACTGTTTCATTTGAATTAAATTATTGTGAAGAACGAGATATCATATATAATACATTCATGTATTCGCCAACTGATGATTTTATTACCATTGACAGCAGATATTAGTACATTGGCCTTAATATTGCATATCTTATGCTATTATTATTTAATTAGATACTAATTGTAATTATAGTCATGCGGTATCTACGTTTTCCCGCAGTTCGATATCGTCAGGTTACAAGAGTACAGTGACTTTCAAAGGCCACGAATAATCAAATGTTAATTTTAAGTTGATGACAAATAAACTCACAACTTAGTTCGGTTAAAAATTCTCATAATTGCTTTTGAAGTTAGGTTATGAATGTATGGGCTCTTTTGATTTACTGGCAGTTTTCCATGGAAAAGTGTTATCGACCAGGCTGTGTTGAGATCTGTAGGACACGTTATCGCTCTGTGTGTCATCGTATGCCTGCATGTCTGCTCGCCAGGATTGGGAGGTGCGCCGTACAACTCTGTGTGCAGCGACCGTACAAACAGTGACCAATCATTAACCTCTGTTTAACCTAATCCCCAATCCTGATCATGAGTAGTTCCCTGCGTGAACGCACTTTATCCGCAATACCGCACTGAATAAACGTGCTCCGGGCTACACGTCTGTTTCCTTTCATAGCTGAGCTATAGCTTAGCTGGTTCTGGGAGTCTAGCTAGATGTAGGAGAATTCTCCGTGCTACTCGTCTGTTTCCTTTATAGCTGGGCTATGGTTTAGCTGGTTCTGGGAGTCTAGCTAGATGTAGGAGAATCTCCCTGGTTCTGGGAGTCTAGCTAGACGTTGGAGAATCTGCCGTTCTGGGAGTCTAGCTAGATGTAGGAGAATCTGCCACAGATATAAACGCGCTCCGTGCTACACGTCTGTTTTCTTTATAGCTGAGCTATAGCTTAGCTGTTCTCTAGCTAGAGGTTGGAGAATCTGCCATAGAGATTTCTGATTCCTAGCTAGATGTTGGAGAATCTGCCATAGAAATTTCTGAGCCGGTAGCTAGATGTAGGAGAATCTGCCATAGAGATTTCTGAGTCAGTCAGGCTTTAATAAAGTAGCAATCCGCTACAGATTTTAATACCCATAGATAAAAGGTGTTGGTTCAACTGAATCTCTATCAACGCTATCCCTTCGTTTCTGAAAAAATCCAGTAGGCACATGGACCACCACGACATAAAAGTAACTTTTAAGAATAACAAAAGCACAAAATAAATTTATGTTAAAAATTGGCATAGCCAATGCATAAGAAAAATGATTTCATAATGATGTCGTAAGTTTGACATTTTTCTGTTTCTGGAGTTTTGACCTGTGAAATGAAGTTATCTATTCTAAATGTGAAGACTTGGTCGATAATAAATCTTTCGGGTATTTTCTAAAAATTCATTAACTGGTCAATTTGAATTAATTTATAATTTCATTTATATTAGAACGTTAAACTCCAAAATTCAAAAATTAAATTCTAACGACAAACATTTTAAGCCCTTTTGGTAATTTTCAAGAGAATTCATTCAACGCATTTAAGCGTTGTAAAATTGTTTAAAATAAGTGAATATAATTTATTTATTTATTTCAAATGGCAGGCGTTATGATAGCTACCATTAGCCATTTAGCTGACTTCGGGCTTCACAGAAGGAAGGTTCATCAAAGTAGCAGAAAGTCGAGGGGTGGGAACGAAAAAGCGATTCACAGATGTAAAAGTGGCAGACAGACACAAAGGCAGAGAAAAAGGTAAGGTGAGTACTGTGAAGGGGACCGAATATGACATGCAGGGGGGTCATGGTAGTTTGCAGTCAGAAGTCAACTGCCGGTTAATAGACTTTTTTGCCGTATGAGTACACTTTGCTCAGGGTGCACCACGTGGAGGTAAGTCTATCGCACACCCCTTGAATATAATATTATTATTATATCAAATGGCAGGCGATTTGATGGTTATCACTTGCCCTTTAGTTGACTTCAGGTTTCACAGAGGGGAAGGAACATCAAAGTGGATGATGGTAGTTTGATGTCGTAGGTCAACTGCCGGTTAATAGACTTTTTGCCGTATGCGTATACGTTGCCCAGGGTGCACCACGTGGAGGTAAGTCTATCGCACACCCCGTGAATATAATATATATATACATCTCAATGTGCAAGTAATTGGCACTTATGAGAAACAGAAAGGATCAATATAAATTCTGTTTTTGGATGCTGAGCGAAAATGACTTATGGATATTTTGTTAGACTATTGCTTTGCAGAGGCCTTAAATGAATTCCATAGAACTATTTCCCAACAAAGTTCCAAACGTTAGCAATTAAGAACTGCAGTGGCCGATGTGCGAATGGTTGAGGATGAATAAAAATCGGGCGCGAACGATAATACTGATCGTTTTCATGACTCGGGGAAATAATTTAAGATATGAAATGTCACAGTAAATAAAAATCGATAATTGATATGCTCCAGCTGAAGCCTGATCAAAAGAGTAGTGGCCTACTGCGATTTTATTTGTTCTGCTAAAAGCATCATAAAAGCTTCAAAATAATCCTTTTAATTTACGCGTTGGAAGTAAATAATTATTGTAAGTATTTGGGGAATGATTTTCAAATCTATAAAGATGTCAATAAGCAGTGCTCTGTTATATAAATTAATTTTATTAAAGTTCTTATCATAAAATAATGAGGCTTTTAATTTTTACGAGTAACTTCTTCCATTCCTCTAATTTATTTCAAAACAAATAAAATAAGCATTTAATAGTGCAACAGTTCAAATTCTGACTGATTTTAAAAGTATTCACCATCAATTAATGCGCTTTTATCTTTAAAATTGGTCTGTGTATTAAAATTAAAAGTTATAAGTAAGTCATTTTTGTGTATGAGAAGTAATTAAATGGAGAAAAGGGTTGATTGCAAAAGTGGTCTGTTTGGTTAATTATCAAACTAGGATAGGATTGTGGGAGCATTTGAATAGTAGGGAAAGGGGAATCTGGGAGAGGGATAAAATTGCCGTTAAAAATGTGAGACGGTGGGAGTTTGAAGGTGGAATTTTAGGTGTGTCGGCCAGCATCAAATCTCACCTCTGTTATTGGTCGATGGGGGAGTATCAATGAAGTATTTAAATGAATTCGAAACATTCCTATCAGACGGTATTTGATTCAGATCTCTACGTTAGAATGTGCAGCCTGTAAGTTTTCCCCTCTCCTTTGTCACGCACCAAGGTTTTCTTTAACATTATTTTAATATCTTACATAGATTAATTCAATCTATTACTTTTAGCACCTAGTTGTACTATCTTCAATCATGAAGGACGATTTGAACGGGCGTAAGAGTGGTGAAGGTTGAATACAATGAAACTAGAGAACCAAATCTCTAACATCATAAAAATGTTTGCTAGTTCTTAGTTGTCAACTTTATGAGATGAAATTGGATAGTTCTTATTTGGCCCTGAGTTGCCAGATGAGACCTGTTTAGTCCTATTGTGATCACATTGAGTAAATTAAATATTTAACATTCTTTCATGCAATTTTTTTTCAAACAATTAAGCAGGGCGATACATAATGATTGTCGATGAATTATCATCCTATAACACACATAAAGGAACGTTTATTAGGAGATATTTTTTCAAGTACCTGTATTCCAGTGTTTGGAAATTTGTTGGCCAGCATTGTAATACTCATCAGAAATTTAGATTCACGTGTTTTTCCTATTTATTTCAGCCGCTATCTAGTGCTTCTTGGTTGCGTGTTTCTTCTAAGTTTTCTCGCTGAACCTATTCTGAGTGTCGAAGATGATGGTTTTCAACAAGCCGATGAACTTGAACCTGGAGGAGTCTATCAGTATATTCCCGTGAAGGGACACAATTCATTTGGAAAGTTCAGACGATCAGCTGATTACCCGTCTGCCTACGCCAAGCGAGCCCAGTTCTTGAGAATCGGCTAAATCCGCTTTAATTTTTAAACAAATTGATTTTTTTCATGAGTTACTATGAAATATACATGAAAGTTGCTACTTATAAAAATACAAAAATACTCGACTATCTACTTTTAATATGATATAACCATTACTATATAATAATATTATATTTCATATCCAAACCAATTTTAAAGCACCTTATGTGAAGATTTTAATGAAATTAATACCAAAATCTGCATGACATGAAAGTCTGACAAAAAGTAATCAAATTCAAGTATTCAGAAACAAATATGAAGTAGCTGAAATGGTTTTCAGTCAAATGTCAAGGAATCTGAAATTTTCTTGAGACCGGAAGCTGTCAATATATTTAATATTAAATTATAATTATTATTTTGAGGTAATTAGTTTAGAATCATCTATTTTGGGAAGCGCCTGAAGTCTTGTACAAATTAAAAAGCTATTTTTCGAGCATTCGTGAATTACGTAATTTTCACGACCAATAGCAATATAATAAGGCATAGTTGGGAAAGGAGGCTAGTTCCACATCTGACTAGTGTTTTTAGTCATATCGTTGTTAAATATTTATTTATTTCAAATGGCAGGCGTTTTGATAGTTATCATTACCCTGGAGCTGACTTCGGGGCTTCACAGAAGGGAGAAGGAACATCAAAGTGACAAATATTCGAGATGGGAGACAGAAAAATGATTCACAGAGGTAAAAG